TGGGGCTGGAGCTGAGCCTGGAACACACGTGGTGGGAGAGCACAGGTCAAGGGGGGACAAGGAGGGCTCCTCTGCAAAGGGGAGTCCTCGTTCATTCAAACCAGTGGCCATGAAGGAACATTCCCACGGGTCACTGCTTCAAATGAAAGGTGAGAAGGACAAACTGCACTTTACACTGTTTCCTCCATTTCTTGTTACTCTGTTTCACATTTGAAGATAATTTTTACAACAGTCCTTACACAAATTTCCCAGCAGCAAATGGGACTGACACGAACTCAAACCCTCCCCTGTCCCACAAAAAACAGGACTTACTTGGTTCAAGAGCAGAAGAGAAGTGAAGGTCGAACAGAAGTGGTTTGAAGGCTCTGGGCTGAGGGTGCTTTTATACAGGTTCTTGTGGGAAGTGACCCATTCTCCTCCTTATATCTACTCATTGTCCTTCAAATACCCTCTTTTGCATGTGTCACTCAATCGAGGAAATTGTTTTGATGTAAGAAACTCCACCTCAGATGGTTTTATACCCACATCACAGACCTCAGGGTTCTTGCATGTCAAGCTGAGGGGCAAGTTTCTGCCTTTGTTATAACTGCTGACTTGATTATAGAGGGAGATATGAATCTGAAAATGAATTTTTCAGGGCATGTTGCAGTTAAATAACCTAACCAATACCTTGTGGCCGTATATTGGTGTCTGCTTCTTTGTCATACTGTTAAAAATACTAAGAGCTGGTGCTTGAGGTTTCAGACCTTTTTCCAAAGCCATGGTAGTATGTTTGGTACTTCTATATTGTTATATTATTAGTTCAATATAACTTTATTGGCTTTTTTTCAAGCACTTAATCTACAGAGAGAGAAAATCTGAGGTTTGGAAGCAGTAACTGTAAATCCTTTTTAATTTCAGGGTCCACTTTCAGTATGGGACTGTTAGTTACAAATCAGGAAATGCTTTTGCAATGCCGAGGGCTGAGCCTGCAAAACAGGGTATTAGATTGTACCCTGTTTAATGACAGAACTTAATTTTACAGATGAGTCATGGAAATTCATACCCAGCTCTCAGTTAATGGGACTGGGCTCAGGACGAAGGCAGAAACATTTTTGTGATGATCAGCCTGGACTTAGGGAATGCCCATCACTCTTCCTAAAGATTTCATACTCCAACATGCATTGTTTATTGTGTTTGGAAACAGAAGTGCAGAAAGCATATGAATAAATCACAGCAGCCTGGGTTAGGCACCTTGTCTTTGGCCAATCATTCTTCTGGAGTGAGACATGCCAATCTGTCAGTTGTGTTTCTGGGTACTGGTTCCACAACCTAAATTTCCTGTAAATGAGCTTTTCTGTGTTGTGCAGACAGGAGTTTTTCTTTCCATTATGTCTTGGAGATGTGTATTTAGGTTGTCAGTGCCCTGGAGCTGGAGAACTTCCTAATGGGTTTCTTACAGTTCTCCAAACAATGGTCCTTGAGTCACTGTCACAGAGAACAGGAGATGAAAGAGTGAGGCCTTGGTGTGCTGAGTGCTCCTCCCAGCTTTCCCCCTGAACCAACAAGTGTGGCTGAGTGGATTATTTAGGCTAAGTCTTTTAATAATCCCATCAAGATATCAACAATAAAAGTTACCCAATTCATTTGGGTGTTGTACAAATGAGAGCTTGTGTAGAACACATTAAAAAAAATAAGGATTTTGCCTTCTCTTGACACATGAAAAGATTAAGGTTGAGAAATAAGGATGGGAGTCTTAAAATGAGCAGCAGCTGATCTGGCATGATCACAAAAGAAATGTCATTTCCAGGGAAGTGATTAAAAAGGACTGAGAACATGTGCAGTCTGAGGAAGATGATGATTATTGGGTGATGATGAAGAAGAGAATGATTCAGAAGTGCCAGGAACCATCTGGTCATTGATTTCCTTTTAGAAGAGCAACTCCTAACTCAGGGGACCTCTGCCTAGTCTAGACCTGCCCTCCTAAGGATGCTGACCCCACAAGGCTGGTCCTAGAATCCAGAAAATATAGGTTTTTATTTTCCATACCCCACTGCTCTTCCACTTTTCCATGCTTCCTCTGGCAGCAGGAGCTGCTGAATGTTCCTCAGACCTTCAGGTGTGAGGACAGCATGGGTATGTAGTGTCTTAAAGACCTGCAGCTGGTCACTTTTCCCTGTCATTCCCATAGGGTAGTGTCCACCTTGCAAACACAGAAAGAAACTGTAGCTGCCCTGGTTGTAGACATCCTTCAACATCCCTCATTGTTCTATCACCTTTGAGAGTACAACCAACAATAAGTGTTGGATCAGCAACCTTGACTATCATCCATCTGCCTTTTAAAGGACTTCATAGCAGAGGTTGTTCACTGGAATAAGGAGGTGTTGCCAGACTTGGAGGGTCCAGTGTGAAGACCTCCCACTACTGCCTTCCAGGTCTGGCAGATCCTGGGGGTTTGGGATTTTGTCCAGGGAACTTCTTTAAACTGATCTCACTGCATACTTTGGGTGCACACCACAGCCAGATTTTCATCTTATTTCTTCTGCCTCCGACTTCACCTTTTCCCTCTTGCAGTTTTGTGCTATATTAAGTATTTCTCCCAGCAGGTACAAGGCTGCTCTGAGCCAGCCTCTGTGACACCCACGTGAAACGGAGAATCACAACTGAGGATTTCTAGATGAGATGATTAAGACAGAGGCCAAACAATTTACCAAACACCTCTTGGCAATTAAATGAGCCTCTGGGAGGAGATCTCGGGCATGTCTTGTACTTGTTAGTGTTATTATTTATAATTATAATTCTATTCTCTCTTAGCTTATGTAGATGAGGTTGGCGCCCAGATACCATGAAAACAGAGAGCTCAGACAGTTGCTGCTGTCAGGAGCCAATCAACGAAACCAATTAGTTGTAAGGATGGTGAAAGGAGGCATTATTGTCCCTGCTGGAGGGAACCTCCTGCTCCAGTGAGCACAGAGGGTGGGTTGTCCTCTCCTCAATGCACAAAGGACCACGAGAGCATCTAAAAACCTCTCCCCAAATTCTTGGCAAAGGTTGCCCTGGAAATCTGCTCCAGACCACTGTGTCATAACATCTTTACCTTGCTTTGGATCTAGACTTGGTGTTATTTTCTATTTTTCATGTTGTAGTTTCTCTAGTAGGTTCAGAAACAACACCAGGGTGATGATAATTATAATAAATAGGAATGAAAACAGCATTTCCATCTGTCCTGGCTTCATCCTGACTCAAACCAGGACACCAATTATGGTTGTCTGATTCCTTAAATCATAGGGAGGGAACCATCATGTGGAATCTAATCCAGGTCTCCAATTACTTAACACTCCAAGCAATATTTTTGACATGTAAATCATTTAACTCCATCAAATTTAAACATAGGTGCACGAGGACCCCAGAATTTCACCCCTCACTTTGATCTGGTACATCAGGTGAGGAGCTGGGTTCCCTTTTCCAGCAGTAAGAGTAGGGATAAAAGGGAGCAGGATGGTGTCTTGCCAAGGCTGGTATGAAGGTCTCCATGTTTCATAGAGTCATGGAATGGTTTGGGTTGAAGGGACCTTAAAGATGATCTAGTTCCAACCCCCTGCATGGGCAGGGACACCTCCCACCAGCCCAGGCTGCTCCAAGCCCCATCCCACCTGCCTTTGACCACTTCCAGGGAGGGGACATGTTTCATCTCACTTTGCAACTAACATGTTTGAAAACCTTCCCAGCAAGCATGACTAAATCAATCCTTTTAAAAACAACAAAAAGGTCTGTTTTGTCTGATCAGCAATCCTCTCTTTTACTGCTCTGAGCTGTGTGTCCTGAAGCCTGGACAAGAGGAAGAAGGAAATGGATTTCTGTAATGAGTAGAAAGAAACTCAGGGTGAAGACTGTCCTGATTCTGAGATGAAAGGTTTCCGTAGGCTGCAACCTGGATGAAACACCATTCAACTGATAATTGCCCAACAGCAAACAATCTGCAAAGATCCCTCCACCCCTTGACATGACAAATGCAGGAAAGTTTGTTTTGTAACTAGGAAGGGCTGCATGCCCCAAGGGTGGCTCAGACCCTGGAGCTGAGCTGAGGGAACCCTATAAAAGACCTTGGAGGACAGAGCTCCTCAAACCATTCTTCTTGGCTTGTCCTTGGTGGTGAACTGAGTAAGTCTGACTTCAGTTAAATCTATCCTATGAGTTTAAAAGCTACTTTAATAAGAGTTCTAATATACTTATATCTGAGCACATAATATATCTTTGCCTGTTACTGGGATAATGTTATTTTCATTTAAAAATGCTTCTTTCAGCTTGGCAGCTTTGGGTTTGATATGGAGAGCATGGAGCTTTAAGAGCTCCTTGCAGTTTTCAGAAAAAGAGTGCTTATTGGTTTTATCTGAGCCTGGGAGAGCTTTGCAAATGAACACAATGGTTTTAGGAACAGCTTTTAAAAAATACTGCTAGATTAATCCTCACCTTTTGGTGAAGATTAAAATGAAGCTTTGCTGGCTTCTAAGAGGTGACCTCATCTTCATTATTTCTGCACATGAATTGCAACCACACTCCATACTTAGCTATAGAAGAGTAACTTTCTGAATATTGTGCTGTGAAACAGACTCAGAGGAACTAGAGCAAAAAGCAGTTTGTCTTCCTCACCTCTAACTTTAAGCAAGATTACCTGTGGTGCTCACCCTCTCAGTGTGTTCCTCCAAGTAAGTCCTGTTCTTTGTGGGGCAGGGGAGGGTTTGAGTTCGTGTCAGTCCCATTTGCTGCTAGGAAATTTGTGTAAGGAGTGTTGTAAAAATTATCTTATAACATGAAACAGAGTAACAAGAAATGGAGGAAACAGTGTAAAGTGCAGTTTGTCCTTCTCACCTTTCATTTGAAGCAGTGACCCGTGGGAATGTTCCTTCATGGCCACTGGTTTGAATGAACGAGGACTCCCCTTTGCAGAGGAGCCCTCCTTGTCCCCCCTTGACCTGTGCTCTCCCACCACGTGTGTTCCAGGCTCAGCTCCAGCCCCAGAGATGTCTTCCTACAGGCAGCTGTGCAAGTGGAGCAGCTGCTCCCCCTGCGAGGTGACCTGTCCCCAGCCCTACGCCAGCGCCTGCAACCAGCCCTGTGTCACCTCCTGCGGGGACTCCCGGGCCGTGGTCTACCCACCCCCCGTGGCCATCACCTTCCCGGGCCCCATCCTCAGCACCTGCCCTCAGGAGAGCTTTGTGGGCAGCTCAGCCCCCCTGGCCATGGGCAGCTCCTCTGCCTATGGTAGCTCTGCCCAGAGCTGCTTTGGCTCCAGCAGCTCCCTGGCTGGCAGGTTCTCCTACCCCTGCTATTCCCGCAGGTACAGCACGTACCGTGGTGGGAGCTGTGGGCCCTGCTGAGCCCCCCGGGGATTCCCTGGGGAGCAGGACCCAGCAGGGACCAGAAGGAAGTCCCAGCTGGGGACTGAGCAGAAGGACATGGCTTCCAGAAGGGCAGTGTTGGGTTGTAGTGGGTTCCTTGGGATCTGGAGGTGCTCAGCCACTCTGAGAAGCCCAGACACTGGATTTCCCTCGGTGCTGGATTAGGTTCCTACTAATCAGATCCCAGCTCCATGTTTGAGGGGTTGTTTACTTGAGAAAGATAGACCTCAGTTTAAATTCTAGTGGTTTATAGAAGAGTTAACATCAGTGCTAGTTAGATCCTGTAGATTCTGGCCTTTCATTGTAATGTTTTGTGACTTGGAAGGTACAGTGGAAAAACTTTCCCAAAGCTCCAGTTTGATTCTGGAAGCTGCCCTGGTTGGGATTTAAAAACCCAACAAGTACAGGCAGGTGAAAACTGAATTTGATTCTCAAGAGCTGCAAACCAACCAAGACAGAAGATCATCTTACAAACTGCAGCCCCCAAAGAAGACAACCACATCCATCCCCAGCAAGCCCTGCATGTATATTCTGTGCTCTCTGGATCATTATGTTCTGCTGCCATGAAGTCCTTGTCCTGTTTTAATTAAAGTTTACATTGCATCACAACATTTGCCTTCTGGTTTCCTTTTCACCTCAGCTTAAAATCGTTGGACAATGATGCTAAAAAAATTCTTCACTTGAAACTCAGGCTCTTCTGGGGGTGTCCTGGGTGTTGTGTGCCTTGCCCATTTAGCCTCCAGAGGTGGACAACCCTACAACCTTTTCTTAAGGTTCAGTGGTGAAGGGGGTGGGAGTGTTGGATCAGAGGTTCTATTGGTCCTCCCACGAGCTCACAAATGGAAAGAGTTGCCCTCAGTATCTTCACTGCTTTTCAAAAGGACATTTGCTGCTTAAAGTCTTCTGCTAGTTGTAAATGCGAGTACTAGAAATAGTTTTCCAGGTCTATCCTGGAAAAGCCTGGGCTTCAGCTTCTGCATGGGCTTTGTGCCATGGGTATGGATCTACCAGGACTTTCTCTGGCTCTGTCTCCATTTGCTTAAACTAAAGGGCCAAATTTCCTATTTCCAGAGTGACTGAGTAATCATAACTGGAATAAAACTGCCTTTTGGTGACAGCTGGAACCCTGCTGCATCATCTAGAGAAGTTATAGGAAGGCCCAGAAGGAAGGAAAGTCCTTCAGTAAAACAGAGGTGGGTGGAAAACTGAGGTGGAACAAACACCAGGTCAGTGCTGTGCAATGTGGCTTTTAATGGGCATGAGAAACAAAGCTGACAGTTGCAATAACACAGGAGATAAAGACACTTCAGAACCATTTATCCCAAAGTTTGTGATCTCAAGCCATGCATTTGGTACAACAATTTCTGCTTTCCCTATCACAGCTCCAAAATTTGAGTTATAATGTCCTACATTTACCCCTTTGCAATATACCCATTTGAAAGCAGACACACTAAGGCAAAGGAGGCTTCTGTTCCTCTGGTGCTGATGGAAGGCCACAAAATGATGTCCAAATTCCTACAGGACATTAAACTGGACATTATTTAACCTCTAGGGTATTGAGGACATGTTCATTCTTGCACAGATGTTCTTTTGGTAACTGAACATCCAGCCAGGAACAGCACAAGACACCTCAAGTGTCAAAAGGAAAATATTCTTATAGGTTGACTGGTGGTATTTTTCTAATCAATAGCTCCAAGGTGAAGTTTTAGGGCAATTAAAATGTGCAGCTAATCTAAATGGAGAGAAAATAAGAGTTATGAAAAGGAAAAGAGTGGTTATAAACATTCTGAGCTGCTCAGCTTTAATATTCCTCTAAGAAAAATGGCTTTGACTCTTTGCTGTAACATTTTAAAGTCAAGCATTTGTTTTCCAGATAGATTTTTTTTTAAATTTCCTTCTTCCTTGAAAAATCGTTTTCCTCCTTCATTTTTTTTCCCCCCTCCTGTGTTTTCCACACCCTGGTTGCTCTTTGCAGTGCAGGACTTAGCATGGCCCACAGCTTGCTCGGCTGTAGGTCCTGTACTGGCGGTAGGAGTATGATGGGCTATAACTTCCCCTTCCCAGGGAGGAGTATCCCAAATTGTAAGACCTACTGTAGCTGGACCCAACCCCATAACCATTCGAGCCTCCAAAAAGGATGGAGCCCCTCAAGCCAGCACCATTTCCATAGCCTCCATAACCAAGACAGCCCCCAGAACCAAATGAACGGCCAACACC